ACAAGGTGGGTGTTGATTTTAAGTCTAAGTTAGGGCGTCCCCCCCCCCCCCCCCCCCTCCCCATTACAGACACTTCGCAACGGAGAAGAGAACATTACAGACAGGCCCCCATTACAGACACCTCCATTACAGACATCCCCATTACAGACCTTACCAATCAAGAATAACAGGCGTCAGACTTTCTATAGTTTTTTGCCAAATCTATCAAGTTATAGTTTTGAAAGATAATCAACATCATTATTTGTGAGTTGATTCATATATATAATAGTGCATTAGATCTGCTGTAGATATAGTCGATATGTACAACAGACGTGTTTGCCAATTAATTCAATCATTATAATGAAAAAAAAAATATAAAAATTAAGACAAAAAAATTGCGAAGAATGAATAATATTGAACGAATAGCAACAATGAAAACGAAAAATAAGGGCGCCTGTCACAAAATTAAAAAACTTAGAAATTTTTGATTTTATAGTTTGTATATTTGATATTAGTATAATGAAGCTGAAGAGCATACGTAAGTTCCACATTTCAGCCCCAAAGGGGCTGCGCTAACAAGCTTTTTTTTATTATGCTAGAGAATATAACACTCGGAAGTTCTTACATGATAATGAAAGAAGAAAATTGAGAACCTTAAGCTAAAAGCAGCATTATTAGTGCAAAGCGTTTCACAGTTTGCTATTAATATAGTTGTGATGAATATTAGGTCACGCTTGTCAACTTTATTCTATTGACAAAACATGGATGTTTAGATTATAAAAGTCAATCACTCACAAAACAAACAATATTGAATCTTCTAACTTACTGAGTTGAATTCCATCGATGAATTATCTTTGACATTAACGATAATAATAATAAATGTAGATAATTGATTGAGACGACCATCAAGTAAACAAAGACAATCTCCAAAATTATCCACTGTAATACATAATTTAGTTAGATTTAAAGAAACAAAAGTAGTTGATGGTAAATCAATAAATGATAAAACTGGATTTCCATTAATAAATGTTCCAATACAACTGAAATAGTTAAGATTTTCAAAGAAATCAAGCAATTTTATATATACATTTGTCGTCTGATCTATAGTTCCTACTTCACGACGGGAATCATTGACTACTGTAAGATCTGTAATTTGTTTTTTGAAGTTGTGTCGGAAAAGTAATTCATCTAAATACAAAACACAAATAGATATTCTGATCTTCTATTTTTTATTCTCATAGATTTCATTCATTAGCTAAATCAATTTATAAGTTATTAACCTGTACAAAAATGTGAAAAAACATTTGCATGAAATTTGAATATTTTGAGTTGAGTAAGATTTGGATAAACACCAGCACGTAAAATACGATCCATATTTGTTGTTGTTTCCAAAACAAGACATTTAACAGTGTATTGAATTCGAGGTAATATATCGTTACAAAATCGGTTTAGCATTGATTCATCAATTGAATAATTATCATCATTATTGGTCAAAGCAAAATTGAGAGTGTTTGTAAAAATTTCATCTTGTGCTAGAAGGTCAAGTCCTTCAACTCCTATTAATGAATAGAGAACATCCATATTGCTCAATTTTTTTAAGATCTTTAGTAATATCTCAACAGGTAGATCGAGTAGATGAATGTCAGTATGATTCATGTTTGCTTCAAATCGTTATGATTCTTTTTTGAAAGTGTTTATATATTTTTTTTTCGTTTGTCTAGCTCGATCACGGTCAGTCAAGAATGCAACACATGACCTCGTTGAAAAAAAAATAACATGAATGTTCAGTCTAATTTGATTGTATACGCGACATATATGTCGTATCGAAGTTACAACTTCGACGCATTTTGTCAAAGTTATTTCAAATCAACTAATTAATTATACTAAAATCAAAATATATGCTTTTAATTAAATTTTCATTTGAACACCATACATATTATTTTTTACCAATAAAAAAAAAAAAAGAATTTTTTCGAAAAATGAAACATAAAGTCTTATTATAATACCGTACATAATAATAGGTCTATTCATACAACGCAAATTTTTGCAGCTAATGAAAAATTAAATATATTTCTAGAATATCAGCTTTGACATGCAAAACATTTTAACTTTATTTTAATAAGAAAAATAATAGATATGGGAATAAGCTAAATGCGTAGTATTGATATGAAAGCACACGGAGTCATAGAAAGATTACACTCAACTGGATTTTCATATCTACCGCGTTCCAGTGTTACTAGCGTATCAATTGAATATTAATCAGATTCATTGAATGTATTCAAACAGTCGAATATATCTTTCCTAATATATAATATATTTTAGCTGTAGTAGAAAAAGCCCTACCCCAATGACGGAATTATGTGTCCTGAGCTAGGATTTTCATATTGATTTTTATTTATTCTTACAGCTTTAGCTAGATGCCTACCTAATCCACATCATTAGTTTTAACATTTTATGCAAAATGAATGTCAAGATGCAAAGAAGAAATCAAAAGATCCAACAAAACTTGAAATAAGATAAATGATCGGAGTTATACTAAGGATATTCTTAAGTGCTGTATGAATCAAGACAAAGTACTCTACAAATCTATTCATTAGCTACAAAGCTTATTGTTGTATGAATGGGTAGATCTACAATCACGTATAATATTAATAAATCGTAATGTTTTATTTTTCGAAAAAAAATTTTTTTTTTGTAAAAAATAATATGTATGGTGTTCAAATGAAAATTTAATTAAAAGCATATATTTTGATTTTAGTATAATTAATTAGTTGATTTGAAATAACTTTGACAAAATTTGTTGTCGAAGTTTTAACTTCGATAACTGTGAGCGTCAAAGTTATAACGTTCGTCAAGAGTGTTGACGAACGTTATAACTTCGTCGGCCGGTGTAACTCAAGGGGAAAAAAGCTGAATTTTTGATTTACAAGATTGACTTGATTGACAACTGATCCCACAGAAAAATTTCCGAACAAAAACCGCGGTTTCGCAAACTGCGGTAACCAACGGTTTTCCGAAACCGCGAAAGTCAGACCTTTTATGCGGTTTTTGAAAACCGCCAAGAACCGCGGTAATTTCACACCACGGTTTTCACCGGTATCCAAAACCACATAACAGGTCTGACTTTCGCGGTTTCGAAAAACCATTGATTACCGCGGTCTGGAAAAACCTCATAAAAGGTCTGACTTTCGCAGTTTTCAAAAACCTCAGTTTTTTAGACCACTATATACAGTGGTTTCCGTGGCCACACCTGACTCAGGTATGGTCAGACTCATCTGAACTTATGATAACGTTCAGGTGAGCAACCCTTCAGGGAGCTTGTAGTGAACTTTTAGAAGTTCCATTACCACAAAGTTACTTTGTAGTAAGAGACAGAATAAGAAAACTTATTCAAAATTTTCATGAAAATAGCGGGGCACGACATCCTCTTCGTCCTTACACATTCCATCGCGATGGTATAAGCACCAAAGATACCGCGGTTTCTCTGCTGAAAAACGCGGTAACAAATAACGGGTGTGGGGTGTGGGTGTGGGTGTGGGTGTGGGTGGTGGGGTGTGCGTGTAGGTGTGGGTGTGGGGTCTGGGTATTAATTCCACACCCACACCCTTCGATGGCATACCGCGGTTTCTGGAACCGCTGAATACTGTGGTATTTGCCACCGCAGTTACTAATGACTATACCGCGGTTTTATGAACCATTGAATGCCGTGATATTTATCACCGCGATTACTGATGGCTATACTGCGGTTTTAGAAACCGCTTAGTACCGCCTTACTTACTACCGCGATTACTAATGAATATACTGCGGTTTAAAAAACCACTCAATACCGCGGTATTTATCACCGCGGTTACTGATGACTAAACCACGATTTTCAAAACCGTTGAATACCGTGCTATGAAATACCGCGGTTTCCAATTACCATACCGCGACTTTTTACACCGTTGAATACCGCGGTATTTATTATCGCAATCAGAGATGGACAAAATCGCACCGCGCCTCCCCGCGCCACTGCTCGCGCCTAGGCGCTACGCACATCTCTCTTTCTCTTTGCTCTACCAATCAGTTTCTCAAACTCCACCCAATACCGGGATGCTTTAAGCATGCGCTCATCGAAGCTCAGACTAGTGTAGCGTAGGCGTGAGCAACGGCGCGGAGAGGCGCGGTGCGACTTTGTCCATCTCTGATCGCAATAAATAATGACTATACCGAAGTTTTTGAAACCGCTCAGTACCGCCTTACTTACTACCGCGATTACTGATGAATATACCGCGGTTTCCAATTACCATACCGCTACTTTTTAGACCGTTGAATACCGCGGTATTTAGAACCGCGATTATGAATAAGAGCAACGTGGTTTCAGAAAGCCGCGGTTCAAAAATACCGCTACCAACCGCGGCTATCCAATCCACACCGCGATTTCGAGCGGTTTTTCGAAAAAAAAATTTCCATGGGATTGACAAGTGATTGACAATGATTGCATTGATTGCAATCAGCTTTTTCCCTCTTGTGATTTATTTTATTTAAAACAATACGACAAATATTCTAAAAAAACCTTAAGCTGAGTTATATTTTCGAGAGGAAATAAACAAAAGCATATTATATCATATCACAGTAAAATATATTGGTATGAAGATCATTCAATAGTTTATCAAATAAATAATAAATTTATTAAGTAAAATTTGGTGATAAAATTTCTCTAAGATAATCATCTGATGCACAAATTCGACAAAATTCATCTTGTTGATGAATTTTCATATCACAATTTTCATCGAATATTTCAATAAATCTATTTATATAAATTAATATATTATTTTTTAAACGATCATTATTTCCTTAACCACGAAGTGAAAGAATTATTTTTAATAAAACAAAAAATCAAACAACAATGTCAAATATTAAGAGGTCAAAATCAGAAATCCGATTCAGACTAAAATTCATATAACTTCATAAAAAGAATTTACATACTGTTGTACACGAAATAAATCAATAATAGCTATTCCTTACATAAGTGTATCACTTATTGATGGATAATTTTCAATAAGAAATGATGTATCACCAGCATAATTATATCCTAAAATAAAATTTAAAAAATTATTTAAAAAAAATAATTACAAATAAAACAAACTTAAAAGTATAAAATCTCGTGAACAAAAAAGTTGTTGAGCAAAATCAGATAATGATTTAATATTAAATTGTAAACGTAATGCAAGAATATCAAATATTCCATATAAAGATTGATGACGTATTGGTAAAAAAAATTTGTTAATTGTATAATTGAAATTGTTTCAGAATTAAGTATTCGTTGTGTTGGATTCATAAATCTTTCACAATCAAAATCAACAAATGGTAAATGTGAACCAACATCACAAGAAGAAGAACCACTTAAAAAATAGAAAAATATTAGAAAAGTAAGATATTTTCTAGATAAACAAGCTTCTAATCAATTTACAAAATGAATCAACATCGGAATCAAGTTCAATATAAAAAAATATCTAATGAAAAAATTGTTGATTTATAAATATTTTCTTCGGGAGGCAATCACTTTGCCGACGTAACACTTTGCCGACACCACCTTGCCGACAAATTGTTTTGCCGACATGTGCTTTTTGCCGACATGTATGTAGAGTTTGCCGACAAAATATTGGACGTACAATTTTCAGACGAATCTGAGATTGTCTAGGCGAATGCGAGATT